TGCTCACGCGTTTACCGTGACCCTCACTAACATGGCGATTAACTTTCACGGGGCCTACGATAAACACGTTGACGAGGTGCAAAGGGCCGCCGATGACATGGCGAAGAGGATCGAGGACTTAACGCGGCAGAACGATGCGTTGATCCAGGCCAGTGACGACGTCAACGAGAATCTCAAGAGGGCGCAAGACGAGATTAACGCTCTGATGGCGACGATTACGGAGCTGAACATCCAGAATCGTGACTCGGGGGTTAACACGGCGGAGAATGCGACCAAGTACAGGCGCATCAACGACAACATTGGTTACCTCCTGAACACCGCCAGACGCCTTACCGAGAACATCACGCCCCTGCAGGGCTTCGAGGGCAAACGTGATGCGGCTCTACGCATGTTGGTGGGAGTTACCGAGAGACTTGAAGGTTTACAGAGGTTCTTGAATGACCCGATCAGTTCCTCGGTTACCATCATCCCGCAGGTGCCTCCGCCGTTGCCCGAGCTGCCCCCAACGGCAGCAATCGCCAAGGCGCCACCCACTGCCGTTACCGCGGCAGCCGAGGCTAGCCAGCCTCTGGCCCGAGCTTCCGCGGCCTCGGGCGCGCCCCCGGCTCAGGGCTTTACCGGCACCACACCCAAGACCGGAGGGTACGGTCGGTCCACGTCGCCGAATAAGATCCCTCAGTCAACGGCGCCGCAACCTGTTTACAAGAAAGCACCCAAGGCCATGCAGGAGCGTAAACGGGAATTGGAAGAGTTATTGCAGATCGGCATGAAGATGGATGAAGATCGTGCGCAGAGCAGTCAACGTGACGAAGCACCAAAAAGTCCTGCCCCTGTTGTGAACGCGAGGGCGCCCAAGCCGCCTCCTCCGGGCCTTGGCGAGTCAAGTGCATCGAGCAGCGTTAGCGGCATGAAGCCCCCGCCTCCGGAGCCCAAGAAGTTATCGGCCCAGCACGTCCCGCCACCGCAGCCTCAAGCTGTTAACCGCACGAACGACCAGCTTGCAGCATACTCTCGGAACATTGCCAGGGCTGCTTACCGCCCATTGTACCACGTCAACAGCCACATGCCCATGGTGAACGACAGGTGCGAAGACCACGACGTCAACTACAAGGCGGAACCCAAACCCAGGGAGGTAGTCGCATTAACGATGAAGACGCGCGACAACTGGCGCAGGTTTGAGGGCAACTTCGTCGGGCATGTGGCGAAGGCGGGATTAACGACTCCTGGCGGTCGGTCTATTCAGGGCAACACGGGGCGGGAGCTTAACGACTACGATGAAGTGTTCGTTGACATCTACGGCCAACATGCTTACGGTTTCATCGGCTACTCCGTGTTGAAGGGCCCGAGCAGCTGGAGATCTCAGTTGACGGAGAAAGAGTTGGCCAAGCACGACGAGTGGGTTGACGCAGTGGGGCACGTACAGTCCTTGTTTGACGACGAATATGTACCCCCACTCCACGTTGACGATCTTCACTCATCGTGGTTTGACGTTCACAGTTGCCCAGATACGCAGGTGTACGTCAACAAGGTGCCGGAGATGAACGAGAAGCAGCTTAACGGCCTTCTCTTAACGTGGGCAGGGATGCTACCCCACGGCAACCCCACTGTGGTCTCTGTTAAGCATCTGGTGGAAGACACTTATGGGCCGCACGGTTACATCTCGACTGGGGTTACCGTAATTCGGTTTGCGACACCTGACCTGGCCAAGCTCTATTGCCGTTACATGAGCGGGCTCCAGGTGCATTACCGCAACTACTTCATCGAGGACCTCGAGGTCAGGAGCGCCGAGGAGTTAAAGGGCAGCATCAACAGGCCTCCAGTCTACTGGCACCAGACCATCCTAGATGTCGCTCTTAACGATCAGGGGTCCATGAGGGCACTTTACCGTGACAATTGGCCTGCTGATCGTATCACCGAGCGTAAAAGCGACCATTGTGAGAAGCTCTGCTGGTTTGGATGGTTACCGTGCGACGACTTCCCCAACTGGCTTACCGATCCGACCTGGACTGTGAACCCGTTTACCGGCGCTGCGGTCGAGGAGCACCTCCGCAACAATCCAGGTGGTAAACCTCTGTTGAAGGCCCCCCACGCCAGTTACTGGAGGGCCATCGGCACCTACCACAACATTGTTGACGGGTCCATCAAGAGCTTTGACGAGGGGTGCTGGCTCGATGACGAGGAGCGGATTAACGCGCACCTGGACACCGACTATTACGGCCCGACGCAGGCCCTTAACAGGGCGTCGTCCTACACAGCGGCCAGTGTGGGGCATCGTGGGCTACCGAGGTCCAGGGGCGCACGCGCCCCGTCAGTGAGGCGCCCGCGCCGCTCGTAAACGGCGACCAGTGACCGGCATGCTGTTCTTTTACGCTCTCCCTCATCTCCCCTCCCAACTCGGCTTAACAATCCTGTTGCAGTGGCTTGTTGAGCTGAATCTGTGTGCATGTGCATCTTTTGTAGTTACCGCAGGTATTGGCGAATAAAAAAGCGAAAGCAATCAAAATCATATGAATGCTAGCCTGCCGTGTAAGCTCTGGATGCTACGTTTAAACTTGCAACCGCAAGAACGTTTACTTGAGCTCATGTTGCATGTCTGAGAAACGTGGTGCTCGTAAACGTTGTCACGAGATCTTCCGAATTCGGCATTATGACGATTTGTGTGCAGCACGTTGCTTAGTTTAACCTGTCTTTGCGTTTAAAGACACCTCCCCGTCAGCCAGTGCGGACTGGCGTCCGAGGGGGGGTGTTAACATGCAAGCGTTCAGGTGACTGGGGAGGAATAGTAACCTTGTTGCCTTTGGCTCAAGTGTTTAACGGCTGAAGCTACCAAGACCTGCTTCGCCGTGCGGGAGTATAAAGGTGACCTATCATCATCATTGTTGCCAGGCTCCCTTGCAGAACCCTCCTCGGGGTTTTGCAAGAGGAGAAGGGGCTCCAAAGTGAAGCCATCAGCCGGGGGGCCCGTGCCAGAGTGACCTTGGCCAAGAGTGGCGCGCGCGGCCTTCGGGGGCCGCGGGCAGGCCAGATCCGAGCGCGGGGGCCAGCGCTGGGGGGACCCCCCGTGGGCCCGCACCCGAGGTCCCTCCGGCGAAGGGCCCCTGTTTCGCGCAGCCGATGCTGCGTCCTCCTCCTCCTCCCCCTCCTCCTCCTCCTCCTCCTCCTCCTCCTCCTCCTCCTCCTCCTTCCTCTTCCTCCTCCTCTTCCTCCTCCTCTTCCCCCTCCTCCCCCTCCGCCCCGTGGCGCTGGACAGCCTCCCGCCCGACGGCTGGGCCGGTGCCCTCCCCGGCTGCCACTCGCGGCTCATTGGCGGCGGCCCACTGGCCACGGGGGGCCGGGGCCGCGTCCGCGCCGTCGCCAGCGCGCCGCGCGCTGGCGACGAGGGCGAGCTCGTTCGCCTTCTCCCCGACGCCGTGCTGCGTCGGCGGTCAGAGAGCTTCGGCTCAGCGTGCCGCTCCGCCGGGTTCTGGCCCGCCACGCCTCGGTGCGGCACACCCTCCCGGGGCGTCAGCGTCCCGAGCCTCTCGCAGCCTCCCGCCCCGCGGAGCGGAGCGGCACGCTGTCCGCTCGCAGGGCGCAGCGGGTCGCCGTGGTTGCCGCCGCGACACGCGCGAGGCAAAGGTTCCCGACCGTGCGGTGGATGGGCGGGGTCGAGCAGGCGGCGGATTGGGCGTGGGGGCGAAAGGGGGAAGGGGAAGGGAGAAGAGGGAGTTCGACAGGAGGAGGAGGAGGAGGAGGAGGCGGAGGAGAAGAAGAAAAAGAAGAAGACGAAGCATGTGGATGAGAAGAAGTGGGACGAAAATGGGGAGGGGGCGGGGCAAGGACAGGAGGACATGAGAGGACGGCGAGGGAGAGGAGGAGTGAATGGAGGAGGAGAAGGAGGCGTAGTAAGTAGGGAGGAGGAGAAGGTGGGATGATGCAGAGATGATGACTGATGCGGAGGCGGAGGAGCAGGGAGGAACGATGTGGGAGACGGGGAAGGAAGGACCCGGGAGCGAAGAGTTAAGACTGAGGAGGGGGGGTGGGCGAGGAGGTATTGGGGAGAGGGGGGGAGGGGGATGAGGAGCAGGAGAAGTGAGGAGAAATATGGGAGCAGGGCGGAGGGAATAGATACGGAGGGAAGGGGAAGGAGCAAGGAAAGAGAGGGAGAGAGAGAGAGAGAGAGAGAGATGAAAGAGGAGGGCCAGTGGTTTGATCTTATTTGCATGTTGTTATGCGTGCATGTAGCAGCTCCTGTGTCACCCCTTCTCCCTTCGGCCTTTCTTCCAGGCCAGGCCATCTCTGGGAGGGGAGGAGGATGAGGTGGAAAAGGAGGGGTGAGGAGGAGTGGCGAGGAGCCTGGGTTGAGAAGGAGGAGGAGGAGGAGGAGGAGGAGGAGGAAGGAGGTGGGAGATGCGACGATCGACGAGGGGGCGTAGAGAGGACGAGGAGGAGCAGGAGTAGGTGTGCGAGCACGATCACAAGGATGACGATGACAGGAGGAGGAGGAGGAGGAGGAGGAGGAGGTTGAGGTGGAGGAGGAGGAGGCGGAGGAGGAGGAGGACGACGATGCAGAGGACTACTCCCCACTCGAATTGTATTGCGAGTTGGGTTGATGTTGACCACCGTTTGTCCTCGTTTCCTGTCCCTGCCTTGCCGCCTCTCTTGCCGCTGACGTTTGCATGCGTGGACACCTCAGACGTTCGTCTTCAGGGCTGCAAGAAGAAGGAGGTGGAGGAGGACGAGGAGGAAGAGCAGGAGGAGGTTTGAGAAATGCGGAGCGACGAGCGAGGCGCGAGGAACGATGGGGTGGAGACAGGGACAAGGAGTGATGGTCGAGGAAACGGCGTGGGAGAGCGACGATGAGGAGGGGAAGCGGCAGGACGAGGCAGGGAAGTGGAAGAGCACGAGAGGGAGGCGGAGGAGTCTTTCCCGACGCAAAGGGGTCCGCTGCGTGCCCTCTCTCGTCAGTTTTCCAACTGTCCCAACATCCGTCTCCACTCGCTCGGGCAGGGCGCCCGCAGGACATCTACTACACGCAGGACAGCGTCGCAGACCATTTTAAGGACCGCCGAACCTTAGCAATCACCCGCGACGAGCTCGAGAGCGGGCAGAAGACCGTGCATGATATTCCCACGATCACGGTGGATGGGGTCAAATGTGGAGGCATCTCGGGCGGCGGGGGCTGCACTGCTCACAGCAGCCAGCGTGTTGGGCAGGACTTGTCGCATACGATCGACAGTCGTCCACAGGTGGCAGTTCAATGGTAAGGGGCCGTGAACCCCCACCCGAATTGCGTTGGCGTGGTCTCAAGGTTCCAGCGAACACCAGTCTCGCACAGGAGGTAACCGAGAACGTAGCGTCCGCGGGCGATTGTTATTGGGTTGTTTTCGTTTTGCCGTGGTTCAGCGTATGTTGCTGGTTCGCGTCGCATTGCGTCAGGGATCGTTGTTGCAACAGGGGTTGTTCTTCTCTTCGTGACTATTGCCAGCCCAGGTGGTGGAGCATCACGGCCGCTGGTTGACAGTGGATAACCGCAGGTTGTGCGTGTTCAAGCGGGTATTCCATTCATCCTTCGAGGTGCCTGTGCTGCATGGTGTGAAAGACTTCCGCTTCTACGCAAAGCTGAAGCAGCCTCATGGAGGACAATCAGTGCATGTTCGAGGGCGCGGGTTCTAATCAAGCAGTGCAGTCAGGCCTGTGGCGGATGGCAACTGAGTTCCATAGTTATTGGGCGTTTGCATCTCCAGCGCCACTTCTGGGCTTGAATTTAGGAGACGCGCCATTCCGTGCATTGTTCTAAGCACTCGCTGACACATGCAGTGGTTCAAGTTGCATTGCGATGAATTATCTGCACGTGCAGTTCACGATGGAAGCCAAGATATCATATTCATATGCGAATGTGCGAGCAGGTAGCTGCGAGCTCGAACTCACAAATCTGTCCATATCCACGCACACGGTTCACAACGAGATATGCGCACGTATACGGGCATTCCGCATTTCAGACCTCCTTCACACAGGCAAACATTGATACAAGCAATCCGCGCAGGAAACACATGTTCCTGATCGTGTGCGAACATGCCCCTGCTATGTTCGCATGCGGATGCCGTTCAGCATTCAGTATTCGGACTATTGTGTTGCCAGAAATCTGCACACGTGCGTTTAATGTGCATGTATTTTTTCTGACGGACGGGCTTGGGAAGCTGGGAAAGGACGAAATTAAAGAGATAGCGAAGGGGAGGAAGGACGAAGCTGAAGCGGAGGGGAAGGACCATTGGGGTACTTCAATTACAGCCGCGCGCAAAGTTGGCACGAGAATTCACCGTTCAAGTACATCGAATTGATGTTCATTGCGCTTCGTTGCTTATGACCTGCATTCACATATGTACACGAACGCGTTCATCAGTGCGCCTGCGGGAACGGGCAGCTCCCGTCGTTGTGCTCACATGCACCCACAGGTCGACGCTTACCGAGCAGGAGGAAGAAGACCAAAACGCACGCGCGGGTCCACGTGCACGCACGCAAGCAATGGACGCAGCGTGCGCCCTCCTGGGCTGGGACGTGCGGCACGCTTCGGCGGATGTCTTGTTTGCGAAAAATGCATGGAGCGTCTGAAGGGCGAGGAGCTCCCGATCTACTGGCAGTGCTCTAATGCGGTAGTTAAACCGACACCGGTCGCCTCGAAGCGTGAGCGCAGTCCATGCGCACGCAGGAAGGAGGCAAATGATGAATGCGGGGAGAACGTCAGAAGATTCTCGAATATCGAAGTCGCCTACGGCGAGTCACCGCCGCCCCCTGCCTTGTGGAAACGCCATTGGGCCAAACGTTGGGCCGAAGTTTGGCCAAGCTATTGGACTATGTGTTCCCCAAGCCGTTGTGGAACCCCTTGGAGAGAAGATTTGGGAGAAGAAGAGAAAGGAGGAGGAGACGGAGGACGAGGAGGCAGAGGAGGAGAAAGAAGAGGAGGCCTCGTGAAGCCCTCTTGGGGCCTCATGGGGGCTTTCTGGTAGCCTCTTGGCGGCCTCCTGGAGCCTCTTGAGGGCCCTGGGAGCCTCTAGGAGCCTCCTTGGCCTTCGGAGGCCGCTTGGGGCCCTCTGTGGACAGTCGTAGGTCCCTCTCTCGGCGTTTTAGGGCCGTCTTGGAGGTACACGGGGAAGCAGTGGAACCATCTCTGGGGCCTCTTGGGCCATCGTGGGGCCCTCTTGGGCCGTCTTGAAGGCCCCATGGGGGTCTCAGGGGCCGTCTTGGGGTAATGTTGGGAACCTGTGGGCCCGTCTTGGAGCGTCGGAAGCCCGAAAAGGCGAGAACGCGAGCATCATTGAACAACCTACGCGGCATCCATGGTTTTGGCTACTTCGGTCCTTCCTGGAGGACCTCTTTTGAGGCCTCTTCGGCCGTCTTAGGGCCTCTTGGGGGCCTCTTGGGCCGTCTTTCGCCATCGTGAGGCGATCTTAGGCCATTTTGGGGCCGTCTTGGAGACATCTTGCGGCCATCTTGGGCATCTTGGCCGTCTTAGAGGCCATCTTCGCCGTCTAGGAGGCCATCTTGGTGGGGAGGCCAATGGACAGCAAATTTTCGGCGGCTCTCCGGGTGGCTGGCGGGTTGGGCCGCGACCCCACGGGGAATTTTCAAAAGAACCAAGACTTTTCAGAAATTCAGCACGCCGCGTGTCCTTGTGGAAAGCCATAGGGGGCGGCGGTTCTGGTGGTCTTGGGCCCATCCCGCCATCCTGCCAGGGTTGCATCCTGAGTCCTCTTGGGTACCCCTTGAGGTCTCGTGGGGTGCCTCTTGGGGGGCTCCTGGAGGCCTCTTGGGGCTGTTGGGGACCTCTTGGGGAGCCTCTTGGAGGCCTCCTGGGGCCCCCTGGGCGCCTCTGGCGGCCTCTTGGGGGCATCATTGCTATCACCATGCCCATTCTGGCACCTCCAAGAATCACTTCCTGTTCTCCCCTGTAGAGGCCGGAAGCTTCGCAAACTCACAGGGCTGTTCAATAGCGTTTGGCTGTGGGCAACGGCACGCGACAGACCTCAAGAGCGTCTGCGAGTTGGGGTTATTCTGGGCCTCGCACGTGCAGGGACTGTACAACTGATGTCAGGAGGGAAAGAACGCACAGACACATTTAATCGTCGATTCCCATGAGAATATACGAAAATATGGGTAGTGGGGGGGAGGACGAAAATCCAAGAAAAAATGGAAAGCCTGGGATTTGTGTGTATTTATTCGTGTGTCCCTGGGCCCCTCCGAATGCTCAATATACAGAGAGCTCGAGCGGACTTGATGACAATATGCTCAGTGCCTCTTGCACGGTGGCGGGGAGCCCGAAGGGTGAAGGTCAAGCGCGCTCAAAGAGCTAAACAACAGGTTTCCCTTCTGTGGAGAGTCCCCGTTGCCACAGTAGCGTTTCTGGCAGGCATGTCATCCCTGCATAGCTCCGAAGAAGAAAAAAAACGCCATACACATAAACTTGTGGCGCTCCGCGACGATTTCTTGCATCCGCGCTGGGGCCCCCCCGGCGGCGCCTCTGGCGCCGCCTTTGGCTCCGCGCGCCAGGGAGGGTGTCCAGCGCGGATCCAGGAGATCCGCGCGGAGCGCCAAAAATTAATGTTTATGTGTTTTTCTTCTTCTAATAGATGTTGCCGCAATAGTATCATCGCCGAATTTTAAGCCAGCCGTGCGACCCGCTGATTCAAGGGGGAGCCGTTGTAGGCCGCCGGATTCAAATGCAGTGAGTTTAGAGGCAGTTGCAATACATTCTTCATGCTGCAATTGCCTGTCCTCATTCATGTTCATAGGACTTCGCGGCCGCTTGAGACATCTACTGCTTATGCGCAACCTGCACACGGCGAAAACGATCCACGATCATCACATAGTATTCAAATCTTCGAGTTTTTGCATCTTCTTCTCGCTTGGCCCAACTGCCCCTGTGCCTCAGGCGAAACTGGCCTTCATCGATCTGGCGGCCAGCACCGGTGCCGAGAGCCAGGCGGACCCACCTGCCCGTCGTACGATGATTGCAGTTGTGCGCCTAGCTTTAAGTCGGGCCTGTCCCTTACAGGAGGAATATTCAAAAGTAGTCGACAAGGAGTCTGGGGACGATTTTTTAAATATTGTTGTGTTTTTTGTTTCTTGTGTATGTATTGGGTTTTCGTCCGAAATCCCCCTGTAGGGGGACACGCCCGATCTAAGCTTAGATCTTCCTTCAGATCTGCCTCTGCACAATCACCGATTGGCAGATTGGGAGATTGGGGCGCACACGTTGTTAAGTTGTGGATCCTCCGATGCTTTTTGCTCGCTGATGCCGGTTGGCCTCTTCTCTGGCATCCGTTGAAAGGCTCCGAAAGGCCTTTCGTTTCGAGCTGCTTGCAGCCACCTGCATAGACGTCACGGGATCACATTCTCTGCGCTTCGCCTCGAGGATCACTGCATCTTTCCTGTTGGGTATCCACATCATCGTGCCAGAATTGTTCTCCGAGTCCATCCTGGTCTTGCACCTCTTCAGTTGCAATACGTTTCCGTAAGAGCCTCGTTGTAACGAGGTGGGGAAGGAGGAGGAGGAGAAGGAGGAGGAGGAGGAGGAGAAAGGGCTTGAGGGAAGAGGAGAGAGGTCGCTGAAGAGAGCGAGAGGGAGAAGGATAAGGAAAAGGAGAAGGAGGAGGATCACAAGGAGGAGGCGGAGAACGGTATCTCACGTAGTTGGCGCACGGTCAGAGCAGCAAGGGCACGGCCCCCAGAACGCCCGCACGGCAACGAGGCCATGCACACAGGGGGAAAGCGGGGGGGGCTTCTGCCCGAGCGGGCTCGCCCCGTGGGACGACATGGCACGAGCTAACTGCTGGTCTGCGATAGCCGCGGCTGATGTTAAGTCGGGCCTGTCCCCCTACGGGAGGAATATTCAAACATAGTCAAAAACTAAGATGGGGACGATTCTGGGAGCATTTTTGTTACTATATTTGAGCATGTTTCCAGTATTTCCCAACCATCCTGTGGTGTTGGGTCCTCGTTTTGAAGAGACGGTCCCCGCGTTCCTCCTCTCCTCCTCCTCTTCCCCCTCCTCCCTCCTCCCATCAACATCAACATCATCATCATCGTCATCATCATCATCGTCATCATCATCATCAGCATCATCATCATCATCATCATCAGCATCATCATCATCATCGTCACCACCCACCATCATCGTCATCATCACCATCATCGTCACACCTCTCACACGTTTCGTGGCCCCATAAGGAGCTCCTCCGAAGGCCCCAGTGCTGCCGCCCGCATGCGTCAGCCACACCCAGTTCGGCATACCCCTCACACGTTTCGTGGCCCCATAGGGAGCTCCACCGAAGGCCCCAGTGCTGCCGCCCGCATGCGTCAGCCACACCCAGTTCGGCACACCCCTCACACGTTTCGTGGCCCCATAGGGAGCTCCACCAAAGGCCCCAGTGCCGCCGCCCGCATGCGTCAGCCACACCCAATTCGGCACACCCCTCACACGTTCGTGGCCCCATAGGGAGCTCCACCGAAGGCCCCAGTGCCCGCCGCCCGCATGCGTCAGCCACACCCATTTCGGCACACCCCTCACACGTTTCGTGGCCCCATAGGGAGCTCCACCGAAGGCCCCAGTGCTGCCGCCCGCATGCGTCAGCCACACCCAATTCGGCACATCACACGGGCCCTAGGGAGCTCCACCGAAGGCCCCAGTGCTGCCGCCCGCATGCGTCAGCCACACCCAATTCGGCACACCCCTCACACGTTTCGTGGCCCCATAGGGAGCTCCACCGAAGGCCCCAGTGCCGCCGCCCGCATGCGTCAGCCACACCCATTCGGCACACCCCTCACACGTTTCGTGGCCCCATAGGGAGCTCCACCGAAGGCCCCAGTGGCTGCGCCCGCATGCGCCCACCCCCCATTTCGGCACACCCCTCACACGTTTCGTGGCCCCATAGGGAGCTCCACCGAAGGCCCCAGTGGCGCCGCCCGCATGCGTCAGCCACACCCAATTCGGCACACCCCTCACACGTTTCGTGGCCCTCTCATCGAAGGCCCCATTGCTCCCGCCCGCATGCGTCAGCCACGGACACACACACGTTTCGTGGCCCATAGGAGCTCGGCCCAGTGCATGCGTCAGCCACACCCAATTCGGCACACACGTTTCGCCCCATAGGGAGCTCCATCGAAGGCACCAGCGCCGCCGCCCGCATGCGTCAGCCACACCCAGTTCGGCACACCCCTCACACGTTTCTTGGCCCCATAGAGAGCTCCACCGAAGGCCCCAGTGCCGCCGCCCGCATGCGTCAGCCACACCCAATTCGGCACACCCCTCACACGCTTCGTGACCCCATAGGGGGCTCCACCGAAGGCCCCAGTGCTGCCGCCCGCATGCGTCAGCCACACCCAAGTCGGCACACCCTTCACATTCGTGGCCCCATAGGGAGCTCCACCGATGGCCCCAGTACCGCCGCCCGCATGCGTCAGCCACATCCAATTCGGCACACCCCTCACACGCTTCGTGGCCCCAGCCCGCATGCGTCAGCCATACCCAGTTCGGCACACCCCTCACACGTTTCGTGGCCCCATAGGGAGCTCCACCGAAGGCCCCAGCGCCACCGCTCGCATGCGTCCCGCACACCCATTTCGGCACCTCCACCAAACACAGCGCTTCGTGGCCCCACAGGGACCTCCACCGAAGGCCCCAGTGGTGCCGCCCGCATGCGTCACCCCCACCCCAGCACAGCATTTCGTGGCCCCACAGGGAGCTCCACCGAAGGCCCCAGTGGTGCCGCCCGCATGCGCCACCCCCACCCAGCACAGCGTTTCGTGGCCCCACAGGGAGCTCCACCGACGGCCCCAGTGGTGCCGCCCGCATGCGTCACCCCCCGCCCAGCACAGCGTTTCGTGGCCCCACAGGGACCTGCACCGAAAGCCCCAGTTGTGCCGCCCGCATGCGTCACCCCCACCCAGCACAGCGTTTCGTGGCCCCACAGGGAGCTCCACCGAAAGCGGCACCCGCAATGCGATATTCACAACTGCGCATGGTTGGGTCCTTCGCCAGGATAATTGGTTTTTTTCGTCGAAGATCGGCCTGTAGGGGGACAGGCCCGACCTAAGGCTAATGCAGGCTGCTGGCGGGGCGCCGGGCAGTGCGCCAGCGTGTGACTACCAAGCGCGGCGAGTCAGTGCACGCGCGGCTCGCCAATGACGCAGCGCGCCGTGGGCCTGCTGGCCTGCACGGCGCGAGGCGGGCACCGCAGGGAGAACGGCGAGCTCGCCCGAGACGCGGGGAACCGCCCCACTCCGAGGAGGGGAAGGACGAGGAGGGGGAGGAGGAGGAGGAGGAGGAGGAAGAGGAGGAGGAGGAGGAGGAGGAGGAGGAGGAGGAGGAGGAGGAGGAGGAGGAGTTGGAGGAGGTGGTTCCAGAGGCGATGGCGTTCCTGGGTAAGAAGCTCGAGGCTCACGGTTGCAAGCTCTCTCCCAAATCCTGTGTTCTCGCGTCGGTGCTTGGGCCGAGCGTCAAAATAAGCGAGCGCACCAAGGAGTTGGGGTGGGCCGTCAAGACCAGTGTCCAGGGGAGGGACCTCGGCCTGGACATTACCTTGGGGCTGCGGAGGCGTTTGAAGATTCGGAAGGAACGCTTCAAGAAGGGGCTCCAGAGGCTCAACGGGATCACTAACCTCACCAGGACCACCAAGAAGAGTCGGAGGCTGGTCAATACGGGGGCCCGTCCACAGCTCTTCTGGGGCCACCAGGGGCAAGGTATTGCGCCGACAGTACTCAAGCAAGTTCGGGGACGACTTGTCCGAGGGCTCGGATACGTTCCCAAGTATGGATGCACGACGGCAGGCTTTGCTTTGTCAGCACGGGGACAGCAGCAGGAGGATCCTGCGCACTACCTCCCCATGCAAGTCGTCAAGACCTGGTTCGACATGGTCAACCACAATCCAGAGTTGCACAAAACAGTCGGGAAAATATGGTCTCCTACAGTGGCACGTCTGGCAAGTAAGACCCGATGGGGTAAGGTTACCTCTCTCTTCTCCGCGCTCATTGCCACCCTTCATGACCTAGGAGTGTACATGGTGGGGCCCCTGGGATGGATCCTCCCTGGCAATCAACGGTATAAACTCGTTCCTGGAGATCTCAGAGCCCAGACGGCCTTCCTGGACGACTTCAGTGAATACGTGTCTCGGGTTCTCTGGGAAAGGGCCTCACAATTCCATCTCGGGGGGAGCTGAGTTCGGGATCGACACGTTCCAGTTTCAGAAGACCCATCGGAAGCTTCGGAAGGATGACCAGCCCATCCGAGCCAAAGCCCTCCAAGCCCTCGGGAAGGCCTCGATCTGGACCAACGCCCGAGTACACGACTGTAAACCAAGCCAGTCAGCGCGATGTGCCAGGTGTGGAGCACCAGTGGAGGACGACCTTCACCGCCTTTGGACATGCCCAGCGCACGTGCGCAGTACCGATGAAGCAGTCCTCGACTCCCAGCACCTCATCCAGAAGGCTATTGATGAGTTCCCCTTCCTATCCAGTGAAATGGGGACGAGGACTGCCACCAACTGATTTTACGACAGGACGCCTGGACCAACACCCACCCAGAGCCACCCTCGGAGCCACGGGGACCTTCATGATCCAAGGGGGCCCCATCAAGGGCAAGTTTTTGGCGGGGGCCGACGCTGGAGGAGGAAGGTTTCCGAACGATCCGAGGCTGAGGATCGTTGGTTGGGGGGTCGCAGTGAAAGGTTCCGACCTCGAGACCATAAGAACTTTAAGATGAGGCTTGCCAGGTAAACAGACGGTCAACCGCGGAGAGCTCTACGCGGTGGCCAAGGCCGTCCAGAACCTAGCAGGTGAGATCACCATCGTGACAGATTCAGCATATGTATATCGTGGAGTCCTACGAGGGCCCCTCTGGCGGCATAACTATGATGTAGACCTATTGGAGGAGTTCTGGGAGGCCCATCAGAGCTTCGACGGGACCATGGAGTTCCACAGAACCAA